TCAATCTGATCCCAGTTAGTTTTGCTTTCACCTTTTTGTTTTTCTTGATTCTATAACTAGTAAACAAGCAGTTTGAATCTGGAATGAAGACTTCTTCAATTTATATTCTTCAATTAATGGTTATAGTAGAATGTTTTGAGAATTGTGACAATGATAGAATGGTAACAATGAAACATTGAAGACTTCTAAAGGGTGTTTCATTAAGAGGGATCAAAGTCAGCAGTAAATAAATCAGTGTTATTGATGAAAATTTATTTATTTCTCTATTGGATCGTGTTATTTAAGTCATGGCAATTATGTATGAAAAATAATATCGACCAAATGTCTGCCAAATCTAAAAGAAAAACTCTTTAGACACTTAAACTTAATTCACATTTAAAATCTGTTATTGGAACACCCTTTATATATTTTCATTTTTGTTAATTTTTTTTAATTTGATTTATTTCTGATTCTAAGCATTCATGCATAAGATAACTTCTATTCACAGAACTAGGCTATCCGTGACCTGTTGGGTCACTGACGTTTCAGATTATAAAACATTGAAGTTGATTTCAACATACCATTGAAATGAAAGTTAATTTTATTATGATTTAGTTAAATATTTCAATTTGTTTGTGTCATCATTGGTCTGGTTTAAAAATTCATGTTTAATGTTTTACTGATTGTTTATAGCATTTAATAAGTATAGAACGTCCAGGATAAACTTGAACTTTAAATCAGATTAAATTAAAAATAATTTTTTAATATATGAAAAAATATTTTTAAATCATTCACTTGAAAATATTTTTTAAATATGCCAAAACATATTTTTTAAATATTTAAAATATTGTCTGTTTGAAGGCAGTTAAAATAAAAATACTTATTGTTTTAATAACTTGTAAATTGTTATGTGCCAGATGGACACAGCATTTGCACAATCACAAACTTTTAGTATTATATAGATATAATATGTATATATAATATGTAATGATATATTTATGTATCTAAGTGTATCAAATTGTCTGGAAACTAAATGTGAAAAAAAAAAAACAAAACAAAAAAACAAATATTTACATTTTTTATTTATTTATTTATTTTTTCCCCACCAGCATGGTCTCCTTAGTTGTCAAAAAAAAAAAAATTTGCATATGAGTTTTTTTTTTTTTTTTTTTTTTTTTTAACACCTCAAACTATATGCATTTGGATGGAGGAGAGGGACTATTACAAGAGAATGTTACATCCAGTTGTTTGGGAATTTAGAATATGTAGTTGTGTGGGAATTTACTATAATTAAAGCTTATTGAGAGATTGTAGAGTGCTGAATTTCACATAGGACAAAAATCCGTACCTTGACTGCAAGAATAAGCTTGAATACCTGCAGAATCTGTTAATTTCACATTTGCATATTTTCATCTTGCAAATGCAACATATTGTCGGGTAAGGGCAATAAAGAAATATTCCTTGCCCTAACATCTTATCTCCTTTTGACATGCTGTTTACGTAGACACAGTAAAAATTTATATTTAGTTCATGCATCCTGTTGAAATTCTTTAAATTTGGGGAACACTTTGTCTTATTAAGCAGTAATGTATTTTAATAATATTCACTGGGTATTAATTATTGTTTTTGAATAGTGTAGATAACATTTCCATCTGAATAATTACAATTAATGATTTTTTTTTTTTTTTTTGTGGTAATAAGCAAAGAATATATAAATAGATCAATTCAATACTGTATCTTTGAAAACAAATTTTTCCTTGTTAAAGATATGAATGTTAGGTTTCCATTTCAATTTATTTTTATTTTTAATATTTCATCCTAAACTAGACAATAATGCCACTAAGATGCAAGGGGTTACAGGGAGTTAAAGAGAATGAGAAGACTTTAGTAAGGAGAAAGGACTATAAAAGAACAGATTTCAGGAATACAAAAGATTATGATTGACATTGCATTTAAACTTTTGAAGATCATAAGTGTTGAGAAACCCTTAGTCAGAAGAGAGTTTCACAGGCAAGAATAGAACTTATGGTTACATCTAGCTAATTCAACAGTAAAAAGATGACTACTAGTTGTCAATCTAGTAGTATGCTGAAATTCACAAATTACAGTGTCTCTGGACAAATTTTTAAATGAAGCATCTATGTATTTACATGCGGACTATTGGTCCTCATCATTTTGGCTGTTGAGTCCTCTTGGGCCAAACAATAAATGAGAATTACTAACATAACAACTAGATGAGATATTCTTTGATATTGGCAGCAGAGCAAGAACAATCTCCCACCCAAGATTAAATAAAGTGTTCAGTTTGAAATTCCTTGTAGGTTATCCAGATCAACATATACCTGATGAAGGTACAATGGCCAAAATGTGATAACAACAAAAAAAAGTCTGCATCTAAATAATAACACCTCATTCTGGAAATTCAGACTGATCTATGGTTTTTTGAATTTCTTTATACTTTTACTATAGTGCACAAAAACCCCCTCTATCCCCCCCCCAAATAACAAAAGCCCCCTTTAGAAATGACCATTAGATTTCTGCCTACTATTGAGGGTCATGAAAAGACAGATTATCGTGTTGGAGATTAGGATGTGGTTAAAGTTTGAAAAATTATATTCACTCTACAGGATAATGAAGTTATTCATAAAGTTCATGACTGATAAGCATTATCACTTATTGAAACTGGTTTAGTGATAATTTTCTTTTAATAAGTCATATATGGTCTTAGTAATAACTATAGTAGCTTAACATTTTTCATTGTTGGCTAGTTTGTCTTGGTTAAGCTAAAACTCTTATCTACATCCGTTTCCATGGTTTTGATAACTGAGGAAATTAAAGGCATTTAAATATTGGTAAACTAGTTTGAATTTGAAAGATTTTCTCAATTTATGACCATCTTTAAAAAATGCATGAAGTCAATCACTCCATCCACTGGCTTGGAAACTTTGCTTGATCTATCAATTCCGCAGGGTTGTGCAACCACTGAAAAATTTCCTCTGCATAACCCAATAGATTGGGAATGAAAAACTAAAAATAAATTTCATTTAAGAGACAGTTCTTAAAATTACTGTTTATCATCATACATACTTGACTAATTTCTTTTTGCAGAAATATTATTGCCATTATTTTTCCAAACAAGTTATATTGTCATTAGTTGTATATTTAAAAACTTGCTTTTTCAATTGATGAAATAATTGAGTATTTTCTGCTTTTATGTTAAACTCCCATTTTATTAATCCTCTATAAAATTGTTCAGAGACAACCTGATGTCATTTAATTTGTTGTTTCACTTGGTATTCAGTTATTTTCATTTGAGCATTGGATTATTTTAATATCAAATTCAAAATGACTTTATATGCAACAGTAGTTCTCATAATTATTATTATTTGAGAAATGACCCAATTTTTTTTTTTTATACTTAAAACTCCTAAATCTGAACATCTTAAATTTTTCAACATTATTAAATATTTTCTGTAACCCAAGAAAGGGAAGATGTTGATACATATTGTGTGAGATATATATATATATATATATATATATATATATAATAATAAAACATTTTACATCGCTACACAAAAATCTTTCATGTTTCAGTATGTACAGATTTAACTTGTCCTTATTATAATAAAAATATATTTTGCTCTACTTTGTATTGAGCACTTTTTTTTTTTTTATTTTTTTAAAGTAAATGCTATGAACTGTGGATTTTTACTTTATCTGTTCTTTTATCTTATTTGGAGATATATAAAGAATATTTCTTTTAAAAAATGATATAAATATCTCACCTGTTACTGAACTTTAACCTTTTGGATCAATGTAATTGACTTGACTTGATTGAATATATATATATATATATATATATATATATATATATATATATATATATACACACACACACAAACTTTAAGAATTATTTTATAAATGTATTCTAATATATAATATGCACACAGAAGGCATTTTATCCATCTTCAAAAGTAACATTTTAGTGTCTGAATTGCTACTGAATGCCATTTCTGATAGCAGTACTGGTTATTTTTCCCCAGTGGTGACTTGGTGTTATGCTCTTGAAATATTTTATAGTTAGCCAGACTCGACTTAGTCAGGCAGTACATTGAATTAATCTCTATGATAGATTGTTAATGATCATATCATGTTAAAATGGGGTGGGTGTGCACAAACATTATACTGTTGCTAAAAAAAAAAAAAGAAAATAATCCTAATATTATAGTTCTTCACTCTATCAACAGATCTTGCAAGATAATGTTGAATTTTCAATTAGTGACAAGTTTATTTGTGGATTAATTCCTTTAATGCCTAGCCAACACATTCCATTTCATACCAAAGTGGTGGTGTGGTCTCTTCCGTTGTTATAATGAAGAACCAATCAAATTACTATTGGCATTTTGTTGTTAAATAAATCTTCATTTGAAGGCTTCATAGCTTTTTTTGAAAGCAGTGGAAGCCATGTTTCTTTTTTGTTTGATAAATAATCCTTTCTTAATATTTAAAATCACCCTAATCTTGTCTTTTTTTTTTTTTTTTTTTTTTTTTTTTCAAATTCAAAATTGTATTTGTCCATGCAGCACAAATATAGGAATATATGTAAACTATTTATGGACATGAAAATACTGGATTTTCAAGAAAAATTTACACTTTTATCAGATGTATGAAAAGTTTGAAATACTGTAAGCTATATACAATTTGATAATTCAAACTGTTATATTTATCATTATAAATAAATAATGATTTTACTCAAATTTCTGTAAAGTATGTACATTGAATTTGCTGTTCATAATTTTATTAAATTTTTGAAAATTCTGCAGCACTTTCAGAAATCTCCCTTGAATCAATTTTAGTTGCATGTTTAAGTTTAATCATCAAATAGAAATATTAAATCAAGAACTGTTTTTAAACGCAACAGCATTAAATAAAGCCTTGCATTATATTGTAACTTGAACATTTTTCTTTTTGTTGAACAGATTAAAAAAAAGAATATATATACGTATGTTTTTCATTTTCAGAGTCCAACATTACTCAGTGTGGATTCCGAGGGTCCAATGCTATTGGAAATGCTTTTGATTCTGTTTTGGTAATATAAAATTTATATTATTTTAAATATTTGTATGTATATAAAAATCATTGCAGAAAGAGTTGAATGACATAAAGGGAAGTAACTCTATTTGTTTATATTTCAAATACCTGATGAATTAACTTTTCCTTTTTATGATTTAGATAATTTAATTATTAAATCTTTTTTTTTTAATGTTAATTTGAAGTTTCTAAAATATTTTAATGCTCGTCTCTTATTTCTCTTCTTCATTGCGAAATATATTTCTAAATTTTACTTTTTATTTCTTTTAAGATTTAGATCAGCTGATGCAGTTTGATTAATGAATTTTTAATGTTAAGTTTATGTACGGTGTAACCCGGATATGAGAGAGTTGTCGGGACCGGAGAAGAAGTCTCTTATATCTTATATCCGGGTTTCTCTATTTTATATCCGGTTTGGTTTATTTTATATACATTAACACAGGCTCTAATTTGGGACCAGAGAAAATCTCTCTTATATCCGGGTTTGGTCTATTTTATATACATTAACACAGGCTCTAATTTGGGACCAGAGAAAATCTCTCTTATATCCGGGTTTCTCTTATATCCGGGTTACACTGTATTTTTAATCATATTAAGTTTAAAGGGGTATTTATTTAAACTTTCAAACAATTATAGCTACTCCCAACTCTTTAAAATGAAAATGTAAGATAGGGGATTGGGATTTATTTGCCAGTAAGCCACAGACCAGAAATCCACAATTCTGAATTAAATCATAGGAATTCACATTCAACAGATTATCATTCAAAAATTTCATACGGTCAGATGCAAAATGACAGTTCAGTTAGAAATTTATAGTGAAACAGAATTGTATTTTAAGAAAAACAATAGGCACAATGAGAATAGTTTTTTTATTGGTCACTTAATTTCACTATTAAAGAGAGAAATAGGAATAGGCAGAAAAGATTTTGCGCACATTTCAGCTATTCATGATTATTAGTACATTTAAAAAAAAATAAATTTAGACATAATTTTTAAAAAGAATCATTACTTCTCAAAAGGATTAACTAATGCAGGATATGTTCTTCAGCATTAAAATGCAGGACATATCAGCAACCATACTTACAGAATCCAATTTCATTGGCTAAACAATTGAATTTTTTACATTATTCGGACTATTGTCTTCATCTTTGTCGTCATATTTATTACAACATTTTGGCTGTTGTATGCTCCAGCTTTCTTCAGGTGGTTGGAATGTTGAACTGAACCCTTTAATATGAGCACTGGTAAAAAATGGTTGCTGAAGACATTAGGTTTATAATACCCAGAAATTCATACGCAGATGTCCTGATGGCACGTGGAACTAGAACAGTCTAACCCAGTCAGCGAAATAAAGGGTTCAGTTCAATATTCCAACCACCTGAAGAAGGCTGGAGAGTACAATGGCTGAAACATTGTAACATGGTGACAAAGATGAGGACAATAATCTGAATAATGTAAATAGTGTAAATACCTCAACTCAGAAATATAGACAGAAATTGAATTTTTATCACTTATCACAATATGATTGTTGATTTTCTGTTACCCCCAAAAAAAAAAAAACATAAGTTCTTTACTTAATTTTAAAATTCTTTTGAAAATCCTACTTTGTTATTTCACTAGCAGTAGTTATCATTTTTCTTGTTCTGTGATCTTTGAATTAACCTCTAGGAGAACACCTTATGGCACCTTCTTGGACTCACGTTTTCCACTGACATGAAGTGGAGTAATTACATTGAATTAATTGCTGGAGCTGCTGCTAGAAAAGTTGGTTCACTATGTCCTGCCAGGCTTACAGGCACATCATATTGAAATACTGGTTCTTGTATGATAACTGAAATTAAGTAATGTTGACCCTGGTCATTACCTAGAAGGTTAACTGCTTGACAATACCTGGTGCTGTTAGCTTGGATGTGTGAGTGGTGTAATGGATAATGTCTTGGAATTGTTAATTAGAGCCAAGTTGCAATTTTAGTTTGATTTGTTATATTCCCTTACATCCATATGCCCTTGGAATAGGTATTAATCCACCACTTCTCCCCTAGCTATGGGTTAATTAGCAAGACCTAGGATTACTAAGTCACTAAAGATTATTTCATGCCCTAATATGACTGAGTCAGGGCCACTATTCTGTTACATCTGAAGCTACAATATTTGTTTGGGGATCATAAATAGCAGTTATGGATGTAAATAAACAAATCAATTGGCAGTTCACTATACCATTTTTTTTTTTTTTCATGCTTGAATTAATCCTTCTTTTATTTCCAGGCTTGTAAACAAAATATTCCATTTGACAGTGGCCATATTGCAATGACATATTGTGCTCTACTCTCTCTCATTATACTGGGAGATGATTTGTCTAGAATTAATCGAAAAGGAATTCTCAGCGGATTACGGCATTTGCAAAGAAAAGATGGCAGGTAAATTTTACTTGTTTCATTTTAATTTTTTATTTTTTCAAATGTCTTTTTTTTTTCTTTTTTTTTTTTTTATTAAAAACTAAGCTCTGCTCTTTTTGTGAGCTTTTGTCTGTATCTTCTTATTTCTTCCAATTCTTGTGGCCAGGTCATATTTTTCTTAAATGTTATACAAACATTTTTCTTATTATTGTTCATTCATTACAAAGCCTAAGAGCCACTCAAAGTAGTGAGTTACTGAATAATGTTGTAGTAAAGGGAGGAAGTAAGAAGTTCATATTATGAGGATATGTAGGATAGATAATGATTGAGCCTAGACTTGAAGTGGTTAAAACTATAGTGATTGGGAAAGCATCCTCTCAATAGTCTGTTCCACAAAGTAACTGTTTTGGGGAAGAAACTGTCTGAGTGGAACTTCCTCTTTACCAATGGAATATGATGAGAATGACTTAAGCCTGTGTATGTGGCATGGTGGATCCTAGCTGTGGATGTCTGGATTGGTGCAACTCGGGAATGGAATAATTTCATATGGCCATAAGGAATGGGAAAATATTTGTTTTCTTTCTTTTCCTCTAGATACATATATAGATTTAATGTGTTGCAGCATCTCCACTCGCTCACCACCCCCACCCTCCCCACTTGCTCTTTCCCCCTGCGCCCTCCCCACTTGGTCCCCCTCTCCACTTGTTCATTTATTTTTTTAATATAAGAAAAACATTATTAAGGAGAAAAACAATAGAAGAACAGAATTTAAGAGGTCAGAAGATAATGAGTGTCATTGCATATAAATTTTTGGAGATCAAGCTTGACTGGAAAGCAAGGTGCTGGAAGAAAGTTCCACAAGTGAGAAGTTTGAGAAAAGAAACTTAGCATAGAACTTATAGTTACACCTTGCCTTTTCAACTGTAAAATGATGAGATCTTGCCACCAATTTATTCATGCGCTTAAATTCATAGAGTCTAAGTACCATAGAGGAGAGTTCATCAAGGACATTTACCATGAAAGTATTTATAGAAAAAGCAGAGGGAAGCTACGTTACAGAACTGGCAAAGGAACTGAAGCCGAGATGCAAAATAAATAACAGGACTGTCCAATAAAAAAAACTCACCAGGAAGTGACACACACACACACACTCTTGATCTCATGACCTTCCTCTGTGGCACATGAGATCTGCAGAGTCCAGTTATGAAACTGCCAGGGACTGCCACTGACTTTGTTATAATTTCAAGTGTAATTCTGTAGCATATCTGTAATAGATAGCCCTCTTCATCTGATGGTTCAGCTATTGAGATCGCTTGTAATCGTCATCCACTTGTTTCACTGTTGGGGCCTTAGGGGCTGGTCGCAATTAGTCCGAGTCCTCTTCTTCAACCTTATCACCAAACGTGGCACTACCAGGAGTTTAGAACTCTTGACGACATCGCTCTGAGAGTCATTAGACCATGCAAGCATGCACATACAAACATACATGCATAAAACATATTTTACACTGGATGTCTAAATAACAACAGTACCACATTATTATTACTTTAGCAACCAAACAATAAGTAAGAAAATAATTTAAAAAAAGTATAAAATTAGCATCAAATATATGAGAACATTTTTTTTTATTGTTGTTGTTAAAAATATTTGAAAAATAAATAATAGTGGAAGAAATTGACTATTTTGATCTGAACTGATAGTAAAGAATAAGTAAACAAAATAACGTTACAACTTGAATTACTTTTCTTACAAATTTGAAAATATGTCCTCGCCCATAAAAAATGTTACATTACTACAATCAATAAATAACAAAAAATAGAATAAAATTATCAGCAAATGTTAAAAACATTTGGATGATAAATGATAGGGAAAGAAATCTAAGATACTGAACCAATAGTCGAAGATAAACAAACATTACAACTCTAAATGCTTTTCCTATAATTTAAAAAATTATGTCCTCTTTCATAAAAAAGAGAAATGTTACGCTTCAATATTAAAGAGTAGACTTATTCATGCCAATGTATTCAGTAAATAAAAAGATATTCCCCCCTGGTTGAGAACCGAAGATTTAAACTTTTGAGTCTTTAAATTATCCTTAAATACTTTAAACCTGTTTCATTACTGTATTCTTGATTGCTCATTTTTTGTCATTTTTATGAAGATGTATACATGTTGCTTTTTAGTGTGTAAATAATCTGTTTTCTTTTTCCTTCTTAGTTACTGCCCAGTAACTGAAGGTGGAGAAAATGATATGAGATTTGTGTACTGTGCAGCCTGCATTTGTTATATCCTTGATGACTGGAGTGGAATGGACAGAGATTTGGCCATCTCTTACATCAGAAACAGTTTGGTAAGTAATCAGATTTTTTTTTTTGTTATGTCTTCAAGGAAAATTGAGTTCTTCAAAAAAATAATTGAAATAAAAGTATTCTAACTTTTGTGATGATGCGTTTCTGCATGTTACTGCACAAGTTGTGATAACATCAAAGGTTGGCTGTATGCAAATATACTGGTATTTGCTACCTTCTACAGGTTTGTCTCGATTATGGCTGTGAACACCAACAAAGAAATAGCAAGAAGTGCTTTGCAAGATACTTGTTTGGTCTGGAATTAGCAAAAAAAAAAAAATATTCTCACTTAATCAGCAATGTCTTCCTTCTTCTACAAGAAAATGAACTTCTGGTATTTGACTTCTCGCTAAGTTCCAGCCCCTAAATGGAAAGGGCAATCATCCAGACATCTGTTAGGTGGTCATATTTTTTCAAAGTACCAGAGATATATCATATATCGGTTATAAATCTGGCATCAGATTTCATTTAAGGATCATTTCTAATTTTACAGGTATCTAAATACACTAACAAAATTTTATATTTGTCAATTCAAAGGTGGGCTGGAGACAGGAATCTTGACAAATCCTGGTCATTAAATTTACTCAAAGATGGGCTGGAGGCAAGATCCTGAGAAATGCTGGTCATTAAACTGGCCTAAAAGGAAAAAGAATCTATTCATCTTCTAAGGATGTGTGAGAAATTGTATTACTACACTTTTTTTGTTTAATAATACTTCTGTTGATAAGTATTAGTTTGAAAGATTGTTTGAAGAAGAAAAAGAAAACTATGAAGCCTGTCTAGGAAGGAGCCACTTATTAGACTTCATTTACTTATCCCTACGTAATGGGTGCATTTGGGATGAAAATTTTATTCTCCTATTTATATTTCTCCCATTATGAGCATTATTATATCCATGATATAATAACACTGATATTTCACCAATGGAACAGAATGGCTGAAAGGAAAAAGTGACAAACAAACTTTTATATCACTAAGACATGCACAAAACTAATACATATATACATGTGTTCCATGTTGAGAATAATATATTACATATATCAACACAGCAAAACAGTGTGTAGAGAGACAAAAAGGAAAGGTCTTACATATAATATTCTTGCACCTGGAGAAGCTATTTTTAGGACTTCATATAAAAATGGGCCGGATTCATCTATGTCCCAGGTGGGGACATATTCCACAAATGAGAAACAGCGAGTCTTGGGTTTTCCCAAATTGAGGACTGTATGCTGGAATTTCATTCTATATCTGAGAAAGATATATTTCTAAAGGGAAATTGCATCATGGGGGCAGATTTAGCCTGTACCATGGTTGTGAGAGGCTATGCTAAAGAAAGTAACCGTTTTGTTTGGCTACTGAAAATGAATTGAAAAATGACCGGTGCTTTTGTTGCTGTATGGAGTGATGTCATTAAGCAGCTGTCATGTGACTCACATCACTTATTGCCACCAAAGGTCAATAAGCACCTTCTGTATCCTTAAACCTGTATTGCTTCCATTTTTTTTTCAAAACTCAACCATGTTCTCTTTTGGGATTGCCATCAGCTACCTTCTCACATTCTTCTTAATCTTGTCCATGCGATTTCAATGAAAATTTTTATAGCTTTGGGAAAAGTCAGGGAGCTAAATTTGTAAGATAGTTGAGCTAACAGATTTTCTTTTAATCATTACACCCCAAGTAAGACAATAAAGCCACTAAGATGTAAGAAGATAAAAGATAATAATTAACATTGCATTTAAATTTCTCATGCCTGATTGACATTTGCTAATTGGTACCTGATTTGCATCTGGTGCCTGGTGCATATCTCATGTATGATATACCTCAGGTTCCTGATTCACATCTGCTAAATGATATTGACTTATATCTGGTGCCTTGTTTATAACAGGTATATGATATACTTCTGGTTCCAGAGTGACATTCATTGACTAGTACTTGATTTGTATCTGGTGCCAGATTTATAGCCAATATATGATATACCTCTGGTACCTGATTCACATCTGGTAATTGGTGCCTGATTTGTATCTGGAGCCTGGTACCAGATTTATGCCTGATTGACATTCTTTAACTGGTACTTGACTTTCATCTGGAGTCTGGTACCAGATTTATAGCTTATATATGATACACCTCTGATGCCTGATTTACATCTGCTGTTGGGTGCCTGGTTTATAACTGGTATATATCTGGTGCCTGATGGACATTTGTTAACTGGTACTTGATTTGCATCTGGGGCATAGTGCCTGATTTAAATCTACTAATTGGTATCTGATTTGTGTGTGGGGTCTGGTGAAAGATTTCTATCTTGGAGATGATATACTTCTGGCACCTGATTGGCATTTTTTAACTGCCCGGTGACAGATTTATATCAGATATATATGATAGACTTCTGGTGCCAGACATTCTTTAACTGATACTTGATTTGCATCTGGCACCTAGTAACAGATTTATAGTGGATAACAAATAAGTTGTACCCAATTCACAACTGCTAATTGGTATCCGGTTTGCATCTGGGACTTGGTACCAGAATTATCTTAGTAATATAATTCTGGTGACAGGTCTGTTAACTGGTAATTAATTTGCATCTGGTGTCTGATCTGTATCTGGTATATAATATATTTCTGGTGCCTGATTCACATCTATTAATTGGTACCTGATTTGCATCTGGTGCCTGGTGCATAGCTGGTATTTGTTTACTAGTACTTGATTTATAGCAGGTATATGATATATTTCTTGGGTCTGATTGATATTTTTAACTGGTACTTAATTTGAAACTGGTGTCTGGCACTAGATTTATAGCTGGTATATGATATACTTCTGATGCATAATTCGCATCTGGTATTGGTACTTGATTTTCATCTGGTACCAGATCTATGTAGTTTACTATAGGTTAGCCAGATTGATATGCACCTGAGTAAGGCTGGAGAGCACAATGGCAGAAATGTTGTGATAACAAAGATGAGGACAATAGTCCGAATATAAATAGTGTAAATAACTCTCATCCAAGAAATTCAGACAGGTATATATTTTTTGCCTTATTCCCTTCATTTGCAACTGGTGTCTGGTGCCTAATTTGTATTTGGTGCCAGATGTATAACTGGCATATCATATACTTCTGGTGCCTTATCTGGTGTGCTTGACTCACATTTGTTAACTGGTACTTGATTTGCATTGATGTCTTGTGCCAGATTTATAACTGGTATATCATATACATCTGCTGTCAGGTTCACCTTTCTTAAAGCAAGAAACTGGAAGAGAGTTCCACAACTGTGGAAAAAGAAACTGTTAGCATAAACTTAACTTCAATCATTAGATGTTGAGATCTTGCTGAAAATCTAGTAGGATACTTAAATTCATAAAGTCTACGTACCAAATAAGAAATCTATGAGGGAAGCTATGTTACAGTACTGTGAAAGTGACTGAAGCTGAGATGCCAGGTCAGCACCAATAATGTTGCAGATTCTTTGTAATTTGTCAAGACTCTCTAAATACATAGTAGAAGCACCAAACCAGATGTGACTGCAAAAATTCAATGCATGAATGAATGGTAGACTTTGTAAGATAGATTCTGGTGAGACAAATTGTCTAGCATGATACAGTGAGCCAACTTTCCTAGCGGTAGACCTAGCAATTGATTCACTATATCCTTTTCTTGTCATGTCAGCAGAAAACATTAGCCTGAGATGGTGCAATGAGTTACTCTCTTCGAGGTTAGCATCAGCCATGTTGATTGAAGGCCAAAAAGATTCTCTCAGATGATTAAGAGAGCAATTTTCTTTTGGAGGTGTTAAAATTAACAAACCATTTCTTGCCCTGGTTAAAAACAGATTGTAGGTCATATTTGTGATCAGTTGCCAATTTCACCTTATTATACCAATCAGACTGAATATTAAGATGGGAGTACATAGTTGTCATCAGCATAGATACCAAGTTGAGAACTGATGACATCAGGAAGGTCATTGATAAAAAAGATTTGGAACAAGGATAGAGTCCTGGGTGAGACCTGCATTAATGCAAGAAGATCTAGAAGAGTGGCCATTCAAGACAATGTTCATTTCATGATTTGATAAGGAAGATTGAATCAGATCAAAATACCATTAATCAAAAATAAACAAAGTAAAATAATTCAAAATCCTTTCCTTACAAATTGGAAAATATTTCCACTTACATGAAAAAATGTTAAGTATAAATAAAATACAATTTTATTCATGCCAATGTATAAAAAAGTTAATGAATATGATGCATTAATTGTTAATATAATTCTTGCTGATAATGTAGTGAATATTTGTAATAATGTAAACTTGCCAAATTATTTTAAAAAGAAAACAATGTATATCACGACTTATCTTTAAAAAAATAAACAAATGTGTATTCTAATAAAGATAATAGATATATAATAATATAATAAAAATGATAAAAATCATCACTTGCCTTAAAAAACAAAAAAAACTACATCACTTTCTTGGAGCAATGAAAAAGCACATCCATTTACATCAAGCATTTCATATCAAAATTTGGGTGATATAATTTTTTGACAAAAAACTACCCAAGACATCTCTTGGTCATTATGAATGTGACTCTCACACAGTAAACAAACTCATTGCTATCTTGTTGCTGAGTAACCTCTCTGGAGAGTGTCTGTTCATGCACACATAGCAAGGTTCTTTCTGATTGGATGACAAATTAGATCAAAGACTTAGAACTATTAGGTCATCACCATAAGTTCTGTCCAAATTTTGAATAAAGAAAACAAGTGACCAAATGTTACATTTAATTACAGATTCAATCAATAATGTATTTTCCCTGATTATCTATGACTTCCTTCCATCTATTAACAAGCTTACTAATTCCATTACTGTAAAATTCTTTTGGCTTTGATTCGAAGACCTAACAAATGTCAGTTTTAACCTCTTCCTGTGTTACAAAAGCTGTTTCTTCCAAATGATTCTGTAAGCTACGAAACAAATGGTAGTCTGAAGGAGCAAGATCGGGAGAATAAGGTGGATGAAGAATTTTCTCCCAACCAAGTTTTTCGATCTTTTGTGACGTGATTCTTGCTGTGTGGGGTCGCGCATTGTCCTGATGAAACATCACCTCTTTTCGATTCACTAGAGCAGGTGTTTTTTTCCTCAAAGTTTGGTTCAAACGCTCTAATTGCTGACAGTATATTTGAGCCTTAATTGTTGAATTAGGTGGTAAGAATTCAAAGTGGATTATTCCTTGGCGATCCCACCAGATTGAAAGAAGAACCTTTTGCCCATGAAGTTCCCTTCGGCTGTGGCTGGGGTCCTTCCCTTTACCAAGCCACTGTCTCTGACGCTTAACATTTCGATAAAAGATCCATTTTTTAAATGCGCCAGTCACAAGTCTATCCGAAAAAGGTGAAACAAGTTGGCAAGAATGGAGAGAAGAGCAGTTGTCAACTCGGGATTTGAGGTTGTTTTCAGACAATTCATGAGTCACCCATTTTTCAAGTTTAGGAACTTTTCCAAGTTGTTGAAGATGATGATGAACAGTTGTATGGTTTGAACTGAGAACCACTGCCAATTCCTCAACTGATAAAGCAGGATTTTCTTCAAGGGCTGCTTCAAGAAGCTTTTCATCTAACTCAACTGGACGTCTGGTTCGATCTTCATCTTCAAGGGTGAAATCTCCGCCTCTGAATTTTGCAAACCATCTTCTGCAAGTTCTTTCATTCACACATTCCTCTCCATAAACTGAGTGAATGTTTCTAGCAGCTTCGGCTGCTGAGTTTCCTTTCTGGAACTCATAAAGCATTATGTGCCTCAAATGATTCTTGGGTACTTCCATGTTAGCTGGGTTTTAATCAAACAAAATTTAATTTTATTGTTCTCTGAAATAAAATTTGATCAGTTTAAATGCATCTAAACAAAAAAATAATGTTTAGCTCCATTAGACATCATAAGATACTCTTTAAATTTCATTCATTTTAAAAAAAGTTAAAATTTGGACAGAACTTATGGGATGACCTGATAGTTTTTGTGATATTTAAAATGACTGGATACTTTTTGGACAAATTATATGTGGAAGGTCTTGTGCATGTCATAAAAACATCAGCAGTTGGCAAAACACTCAGTTTTAAGAACACACACGAGTAGCCAAAAGATCTGCTTTTTGGCAACCAAATGTTGCAGTTTTTCTAGACACCTGATTGATTTGCATTACAGCTTATCAACTTTTTATAAGTTATTTAAACTGAGAAATAATAATAATAATTATTATTATTTTTGTGGTGGGGAGGTGGATTCATACCTTACCCAAGGGTATTTGTGTGTAAGTGAATATAATGAACTTGACTGGAATTGGAACCTCAGCTCTCCAATTTCCAATTCTGAGCCATTATCCATTACGCATTATACACATCAAAGCTTACAGCACCTGTTATTCCCATGCAGTCACTCATATATACAGGATGGTCTGAAAGTCTTGTTACCCTCACCCCTACATAATATTATTTTCTATTTCAATGCTCTGTGGGAATTATTATCAAAGAAAGAGTTTCACTTGAACGATACCAGAATACCTATTAGTAGAAGGATGCCATTTGGAGAGCCTTTGTAACAATCAACAAAGCACAGCTTGGTGAAATATCACACAGGACCTGGTGCTGCATCATTTTGTGCCACGAAAATCATGGTGTTCATACAGACCTTTTCGATGTGTGACAGCATAAATAAAAGTGAATTACTTGTTTTTCTATTATTCTCATTACTTTTTGGTAGGGGGTGACAAGACTTTCGGACCATCCTATTCTTTCATACTCAGTAACTCCTTGTGTCTTAGTGGCTTTATTGCCTTGCTTGGGGTGAAATTATGTGTGTGTGTTTGTGTGTGCAAAATGAGAGAGATGCTACCTTGTGTAGATTTTTTTACAAATTGAATAAACTTAAACTTGAATTAAAACTGTCAATTTAGATTTAAGTGTAAGTATATCGAATTTGCAATTTGAATATATTTCTTTACAATTTTATCTCAAAGTATCTTATATTTTTGAACTTATATATTTAAAATATAATTTAAATTTTTTCTTAAAAACAAAAAATTCTTTTTCTTTATTTTCAGTCCTATGATGGAGGTATAGGACAGGGACCTGGATTAGAATCGCATGGTGAGTAAAATAGTTTTAAAATATTTTAGATTTGTTGTTGTTTTATTGTGATGTTCTAATATTATTAAAGATGTAATGACTTTTGTTAAATAGAACATACATCATTTTATTTATTTTTTTGTTTTTTGTTTTATTTTTCCAAATCTTCTGTAGGCGGTCCAACATTTTGTGCTGTAGCTACCTTAGCTCTTATGGGGCGACTAAATGAAGTATTTACACCAAAGGAATTGAAAAGGTTGAAAAGATGGTGTATCATGAGACAGCAAGTGGGTTTCCAAGGGCGACCAAATAAGGCGGATGACACCTGCTATTCATACTGGATTGGTGCTACACTTAAGGTAAAACTAGAATTTAATTCTCTCTCTGACAATAAAGTTGAACAGAGATTTACATATCTGATGATAATCTCTCCACACACAATATCTCCAAAAGTTCTCAATGAATTCTAGTATGTTGTGGAAAGGTCTGCCAAGGAACAAGTTAAATTTTGCAATGGATCTTGGAACTTTTATTTTTTTATTTTTAATCGAGTATTTCGTATATGTACTGAAGGCCAAAACACTTTCGTGTCACATGCTGTTTTTACAGAAAAAAAGAAGAAAGACTGAAGTTTCTGTTGACCAATCGTGGTTCAAGTGGAATGAATTGTATTGATAAATAGGCCAAAACCCTTTTTCATGCTCCATGAATAGTACGTGATATTTGTCCTCTTTTGTGGCAGTTAATGTTGGAGAGTCTCCTCAAAGATGAAGAGACTTGAGGCAAGGAAGGTATGGTTCTAGACAAGGATGCTAAGGATACCATGGACTGAACATGTGATTAATAATGCGGTTTTGGAGAGGATTCAAACAAAGAGGAAGCTTGTACTTAACATCAGGAAGAGGCAGATAAAATTTCTGGGACATGTAATGAAAAAGGAGGGCTTGGAGAATCTGATACTCACAAGGTGGATAGAGGGAAAGAGACAAGGGAAAGCAACACGTGACATACCCAGCGGGCTTAACCAAGTGGATAATGGAACAGGGTTTGGGAAAAGTAGCAAAAGTACAAAACATATTGAGCTACAAAGGAAAGGGGGAAATTGAAGAGTCATGATCGCACTACACACTGAAAAGGACACGGCACATAAAAGAAGGAAGGGTCGAACAAGCTTTCATAAAAGTGACTGACTTTTCCTGTTTAGAGGCAATCTTGCGAGGAGTTTGCATGTGTACATGGAGATTTGAACTCTGAACTTTTATTATACAGTATATTAACACAATAATCCTAAAATATGGGTCAGGGGATAGAAACTTAGTAGTTATTATGGCGGTTATTGGCGCTCATCTTATGACAACATTTGTTCCCACCATAGAGGCTAATATACGGTTTTGTATATTGGCCTTGTGTACGGATTAAAAGAAAATGCACAGTGTGTTAATATATACAAAATGTTTATATAACACACACACACAGTATGTATAAATGTAAATGTCTTGGTGCATATGAGAGAGTCTAGGAGATTGTATGTATGTATATTTTCAAATGTAGCAGCCAACTACTTAGAAATGTGGTGTAAGAAAGGATGTATGTTTTAATTTCAGCAATGTGGACATCTAAGGTCACCAGTAGGTTGTGCATGTGTCACCTTTCAGCTTTGGATATGTTACAATGTCTGCATCATCGGAGAATGGATAAAATTAATTAATTCTGATTTAGCTTGATTTTCCATCTCGTTATATACATATTTTGAGATCTGCTTTGAAAGTGCCACTTCGCTACACATTGGCTCATAATTAGTAACCTTATATCCTGGTTGGGAGCAGCTCTTATATCTGATTCATATCCTGATTGAGGTGGCTTTTGATTAGTTGGTTGAAATATGACTCTATGGCTTAGCAATTCTGAATATACATCTGTTTTTAGAGATGATGAAATTTTGGTCTCTTTGTCATTATGTGTTTATTAATATTTATTTTTCTATCACTGCATTATCTCCCCTGTATCATATCTATGAACTGATTTTCACTATTCTAACTTTAAATTTTTTCAAAATTTCTCTTTGTGGGATTCAAGTTATTACATCTGCCAACAAAGTTGGACAATTATATATTCAGCCATGTTTATCTGTCTTTTTTTTTTCTTTTTTGTTTCTGAAATAATTATTTCAATCTTTTATCATAGTCTTTAATCTATGATCTGATTGCTTACTTTTTAATGACAATGGTTGTTGACATATGTACTTTTTGACTGCTTTCTTATTGTTGCTCTCTGTCTCTAAGGTAATATATGTAACTAAAACTTGATTTATCAAAATCAATGACAATACTTCTTTGGTAATCAATTTTTAGTTATAAGCTTTTTTAATTGCTTTTATACTATAAGCTTCAAGAGTTCTCTGGCCAACCACATTACATAAAATCTGAACGTATTTTATGGATGACAACTTTTCTGTAACACCTGCTTTATGGCTTTTATAAAGAACTTTTATTTGTGCAAAAAGCCTTTGGTAATTTTTCTATTCCTGTCCTATTAAACCATGATTAATTGAAGATAGTCCTTTAAGTTATCACTGGCAGACCAAAAAAAATTCTTATAGTCCAAAAATGTTTTTTGGCTTTAAATAACCTGCAAAGGGTTAAGCTGTAGAAAACTAATCAGTCAGTGTGTTTATTGTTGTGTAATGATTTGATTAATTTTTTTTCTTTTAACTTCTCTTTAAGCTGCTGGATGCATTCGAACTGACAAATTTCCGGCAAAATCGGGCATACATTTTAGAGACACAAGAACCAATAGTTGGAGGGTTTGCCAAATGGCCTCAAAATCTACCAGGTAACTGTGTTTTTTTTTTTTTTTTTTTCATTTCAATTGATAGCTGAACCTTTATTATCTGATAGGGAAAGATTGATATACTTAAATGACACTAAATCAATAAATTACATTGTTGCAATCACTTGGCTCTCCTAAAAATCGTCTCTATAGTAGGTGTGTTCAAACGGTGACTCATGACTCACATGCGGCTCATTGACCTTTTAATATGTGGCTTGTGGAAATATGTTGGCAGTTAATATAAAAGGTAAATAAGAAAAATTTTTGACCCCATTGGATTAAAACAGGTTTTTAATATTAAAGTGTAGTGTATAAAACATATGCATAAATTTAGTTGATGTCTTGTGGCTCTCAAATATCTAAACTTAATTGTATGTGGCTCTTACATTAAGAAAGTTTGACCACCGCTGCTATATAGCATATAAGGTATGTATGATTCTATGTGTTTACAACAGGCAACAATGCTCTAGAAACAACCTGATATATTTATGGTGTTTACATGATCTTCTCTCATATGCCATAATCATAGCCCTCCACAAATTCCTGTCTTTTTTTTTTTATTCTAACTCTTGCCCTCCTACTACTCCTTATTCTGCCATTCATTCACTCGTTTGTTAGCAACAGTTTCTTTTGTAATTTCTATTCTCCTTAAGACTTCCTCATTACTCACATGTTATGACTATGGTAGTCTCAGCATTTGTCAGTAGAGTTGCATCTTTGTCACTTATGTCTTTCCTTCCTCTGTAAGGAGATTATCCATCATTCACTACTGTGTAAGAAATTAAATCTTGCATAGCACTTAAGCAATCTATTTTTTTCCTTAAGGAAATTTGGATATCTGTGTGATGTTTTCCATTTTCATCCAGATAGTTAAGTTTCAGTACCTACTTGAATTTGGAGTTTCCAACCTGTAGCTTTGCAACTTGGGATAGCAACTATGTATTCTGTATTATTGTTAATGATTAGTCTTTTCTTCCTTCTTTCCTTGACTACCTTGTTTAATAGTTCTTTCCCTTTTTGTTCTGAGTCTGCCATCAACATTGTATTGTCTGTGTATCTTTACTATCTTTCCTCTATTAATCAAGTTTTTCTCCGTCCTGTGTATGCCAATAAGCTACATCCAGCAGCAAGGCCTCTTCTGATCAGGAGGCTTTGAGAAGTGTGGATTCACCTATTAATTGCTGGTGTTCCCAGGTCCACCCTAACTCTGGGTGGTGGCACCTGTTAGGGTCTCAGCTGTGGGCAAATAGTTAACCTCCAAAGTGGAGTCTAAAAACTATGAAAGTGTAAAAATATGTTTTAATACCAGCAATACAATTTTTGAAAAAAAAATATTGTTGTTATGGAAGCGAACTCTAATGTATTAATTTTATTTCAGTCGCATTTTTAATTTATCTGTTTGGATTTTCATTGTTTAAATGAAAGAAATTGCTGAAAATTGTTTGAAAAATTTAGGAAAGGGTATTTCTGTTTTTCAGATGGTCATCCTGTTGAGTTTTATGTTGATCTGCATTTTCTTTGAAATGAATTTGAAATAGTACTGTTGGTAAAATAGCACAAAAACTAGAGTCCATAATGCTTCACTTTCATTGATTTGGAAAAGGGCCTAAACTTGTAAAATGATTTTCATGCAATGATTTAAGAAAAGTCAGCTGGGTCAAAACATGTCAAAACACAAGCAAAAAGTTGAAATCTGCACCCACCGACACCGAATTACTTGAAATTTGGCACAAATGTTCCCCTTCATGAGTTAGCAAATTGTGCCAAATTATTTTGTGTTAGACTTTACCGTTCCAATTTTAAGGGGGGTGTATAATTTTCCTATTTGCCTCTAAATTAAGGCTGTGCAACGTCGCTGAATTTCAGTGTTTTTTAAAAATTAAAGAAGAATACTTCCATACCTTCAATATTTATGAAATTTGGTATGTAGGGCAAATAAGAAGTATTTAACTATTTCAAGCCTACACTTGATAGAAAATTTTATTTTACCCACCCTAATACATGACCCCAAAATCAACAACTTTTCACCTATGTAGCTTACGGTCAGTCTATCAAAAATACGTCCACTTCAATTTTCATAATATTTTTTGCCTATCATCTACAATGCCTGCTCAATTTCACCAAAAAAATTTTTGAGGGTTTTTATGGGATATTTATGTATGTACAGGATTTAGAAGATTATAATTAAAGACAAACCCCTAATGCTCCCAACCTCTAGTTTATTGTTTAACTCCTTAAACTATTCAATAAGATTGTTTTTATTTAATTTAAAAAATATTATTTAAATATTTTTCAGATATTACTTTTAAAACATTGCCTCATGTATGATAATCAACAGTACATAGAAAATTTCAAAATGGCACTTAACAAATGAAGTTAAAAGAAATTCTTTCTGTTTGTGTTTCTTTTAATTTTATTTTGGTAAATTATTTTCATGAAACAAAAAACATTTGATTTTTTCATTCTCAAAAAAGTAACAAGATAAGTGTGAATCTTTAAAACAATATTTGTAGTTGGCACTTAACATATTTATATAGTTGAAGGAAATGCTTTCATTACTTTTTTAAAATTTTTATTTTAATTTTTTAAATAATTTTTTTAAATTATTTTCATGAAACAAAAATATTTGATTTTGTTTTAATCAGAAGAAAGTCATAATAAAAATGAATATAAAAGAGTCTTTAAAAGGTTACATTTAAACTACACGATGCACTGTCTGGTCCTGAAACATCTGTCACTTACCATCCAGTATCCAAGGGGAAAGGTGGTATTTTTCTAATTACTTAGATTTTTTACTTGCACACTGGATTTGAAGTACAGTAGTTTCTTATTTCAGTTAAAGATGAATTGTTCTATTTGTACTAACAGTTGAAACATGTCATGGTTTATTCAATGATAAAACAGGTTGGATTGATTTCAGTTGATCAGTTGGGATGCAAAGCTTATTGCCTATAGAACAGGACTTGATGAGGATAAAATACAGACTGTTACCATCATAAGCAGACCTTGTTGACTAACTATGAATGGCTTGAAAAAGATGTAATCCATTTAAAAATCATAAATGCAAATCAAAGGTGGTTTTGAGACCAATTTCTTTGGAGATGGCAGACAAGGCAAATGCTAAGTTGGTATTAATCCCAGGCAAGAAACTCTGCCCTAATTGTCGAATACAAATCCACAAGCTACTTCCTGATGATGAAGAACCAAGACATGTATCAGATGAGGAAATGAAAGAGCTTGATGCAAGTACTTCTGCAGAAACAGAGAAAAGAAATATCAATGAATGTTTCTCTGCTATTGGAATTTCTCCACTGAAAACAAAAGGGCTTCATTACTCAGGAAAAGCTACTTTAGGTAAGAGAAAATTTTTTTTCTGCAATGCAATGTAAAGTAGCCAAGTCATTAAAGGTTGACTATGAGCTGTTGAATGATGAGGCTTTAAAAATCAAAAAGGAGATTTTAGATAAAGCTAAGTGCTTTGATAAAATGATAGAGCTTCTTGTAGCAAAAGTGAAGACAGTGGAATCAAATAAAATCAAAATACAGATCTTGACACTTGCCCCTACCGACTGATCACATAAAAAAAAAGTCATGAATGTGTTTGGTGTTTCAGAACACATTGTATGCAAGACTTGCAAATTGTGTTTGGAAAGAGGTACTTTAGCTCTGCCAGAACCAAAAAGGGGCAAGTATTTGCTTGCTGATATTGCACAGTTAGTGGAAGCATTTTACCAAGATGATGAATAAACTCGCCTGATGCCAGGCAGGAAAGACTACGTTATATTCATCAGCAGAAAAGACTCATCTTGTGCAACCTAAATGAGCTCTTCAGAGCATTCAAGGAACAGAATCCAACAGTACCTTTGGGATTTTCAAAATTTTGTAGTCTAAGGCTGAAATGGTGTGTCCTTGCTGGTAGTGCAGGTACGCATATTGTATGTGTATGCACTATCCACCAAAATATGAAATTATTACTGGAACCACTGAATGTATCATATAAAGATCTCTGCAAATATATTGTCTGTAATACCAGTAGCAGAGAGTGTATGATTCATAGGTGCCCAAATTATCCTAAATTGAAAAATTTCTTTGACACCATGGAAGGATATATTGATAATGCTGAATCAATAGTTCTCCCAATGAACAACAACTGACCGATTGACTTTGACAACACAAAAGGAATCCTGTCAAGCTTACATTGATTTAATTGTTTTGCAACTGAATAAATTAGCACCTCATTCTTACTTGGCTAAATCACAATCAAGGTACTTAAAGCAAAGAAAAGAGGAGATTAGTGATAGTGAAATTTTGTTCCTGGGAGATTTTGCTGAGAACTACAAATTTATAGTTCAAGATGAGATCCTGAGTTATCATTGGAATACTTCACAATGTACTTTACATCCAGTGGTACTCTACTTTAAGCTTGAAAATGCAATGCAAAGTGAATGTTTCTGCATTATGTCGAGTGACAACTCACATGATGTAGCATTTGTTTATATGGTACAGAAAAACATTATTGAGGTAATCAAAACTATCTTGCCAAACATAAAAAATATTGAGTATTTTATTGATGGTTGTGCAGCGCAATACAAGAATTATAAGAACTTTGCCAATTTGTGCAACCATCAGAAAGATTTGAGGCTCAATGCAAAATGGAATTTCTTTGCAACAAGTCATGGTAAACAACCGTGTGATGGCATAGGTGGGACAGTGAAAAGGATAATGTCAAAAAAAAAGTCTCCAAAGACCAACTACCAAACAAATCCTTTCCACAGAATCTATGTTTTGAATATTGTAAATTTGCAATTGAAGGTATCAAATTCATTCTGGTTGAAAAGGAAGAAGTTGAGGAAGTGAGGAGGAGTCTGACCATGAGATTTGAAAGTGCATCCACAATCCCAGGAACAAGAAGTTTTCATCAATTTACTCCAATCACCAGAGATAAAATAGCTATGAAACAATGTAGCAAAGATGAAAACTATGACCTAATATATGACTTTTCTATTGGGACTGAAGAAAAACCAGTAAATTCTTTTGTTTCAGGATATGTTTGTTGCAAGTGCGACAATAAAATTTGGATTGGCATGGTCTAAGAAATTGATATGGAGAATAAAGACTTGCTGATTAAGTCCATGCACCCAGCTCTTCCATCACATTCATTTTACTGGAAAGAAGATTTTAAGGATATATGTTTTGTACCATTAATGAATATTCTGTGCACTGTTGATGTTCCTACAACAATAAATGGTAGAATTTATCATTTGTGCAAGATGGATAAATTATCTTTGCAAAAAATTATATCCAAAACACTTTAGTCTATATGCACAACAAAATTTAGTGCATAGTGTAGTTTAAATGTTATCTTTTAAAGACTCTTTTATATTAATTTTTATTATGATTTTCTTCTGAATGAAACAAAATTCAAATATTTGTTTCATGAAAATAATTTTGAAAAATTATTTAAAAAATGAAAATTTAAAAAAACTAATGAAATATGTTAAGTGCCAACTACAAATATTATGTTTTAAAGATTCACATTTATCTTATGACTTTTTTAAGAATGAAAAAAATCAAATGTTTTTTGTTTCATGAAAATAATTTACCAAAATAAAATTAAAAGAAACACAAACAGAAAGAATTTCTTTTAACTTCATTTGTTAAGTGCCATTTTGAAATTTTCTATGTACTGTTGATTAAAGAATCTATCTGTACAAAAAGTAAAATCTGCAAAATATATTTAAATAATTTTTTTTTAAATTAATGAAAACAACCTGATTGAATAGTTTAAGAAGTTACTTAGCACAATATCAACATTTTAGAGGTCATGGAGCATTAGGATGATTGTCTTTAATTATAATCTTTCTTGGAAATCCTGCACATACGTAGGAAAAAACTCTAAACTTGGCAGGGTTCATATCTTCTAAAGTAGACATAAAACCCTCATAAAATTTTTTGGTGAATTTGAGCAGGCATTGTAGATGATAGGCAAAAAATATTATGAAAATTGAAGGGACATATTTTTGATAGACTGACCGTAAGCTACATAGGTGAAAAGTTGTTGATTTTGGGGTCATGTATATTAGGATGGGCAAAATAAAATTTTCTATCAAGTGTAGGGCTTGAAATAGTTAAAATTTGGTTCTACACTTCTTATTGCCCCTACATACCAAATTTCATAAATATTGAAGGTATGGAAGTATTTTTCTTTAATTTTTTAAAAAACACTGAAATTCAGCGACATTTACAGCCTTAATTTAGAGGCAAATAGGAAAATTATACACCCCCTTAAAATTGGAGCAGTAAAGTCTAACACAAAATAATTTGGCACAATTTGCTAACTCATGAAGGGGGGAACATTTGTGCCAAATTTCAAGTAATTCGGTGTCGGTGTGTGTAATGCCCTGTTGAATGACCTAGCTGAAAAGCAATTATCTGCACTTTGCTCCTGAGAATGTTTCTCACTAATTGGTTAATGTGTAAAATGAATTTATTTTGCAAGATTTAGCCTCTTTTTTTAGTTTTTAATTCTCTCCTATTATATCCTAAACCACATGAAAACTTGAATTAAAAGAACAAAAAACAAAAAGTAAACAAGTCATTGACCCTCGTTTCTAACATTACTTGCTTCCTGTAATGGTTTGGCTTCTTTATGTTCTATTGTTTTTTATTTAATCTCAAGAAAATGAATTTAATGTATAAAAATATTCATATGATATTCCTCTTTAGTTTTGATTTTATACAACCTAATTTTGTTCTTTACCATATTTTATGTACCTAGCTTGACTTCCTAATATGGTAATATTAAATGTAAATGGCTGGAATGTTAATGTCATCAAATATGGTACTTTCCATTTCTGTACATAAAAGATATTCAATTTTTAATCTTTTTCAGATGCTCTTCATACATATTTTGGACTTTGTGGATTGTCATTGATGGGGGAAAAAAGCACCAATGCAATGGATCCTGCCTTGAATTTAAGTCAAAGAGCTGCAAAACATTTACAAGAACTTCATATGAAGAAGGAATGAAAAAAAAACCCAAAAAAACTCTGCTTAGGAAAAAGAAATTAAATAAAAGGCTGAAACATTCAGGATTAAATAAAATGATATACCCCCACCCCTAACATTTTTTTTATCCTCAGAATGAACTTGGGATTTAAGCATTGAGTCAAAAAATGCATTTCTGTAGAGATATTGTGTAAGCCCAAATGGAATTAGAATTTAGGAGTAAGTTCTAATTTTAGTTTTTTTTTTTTTTTTTTAATTTGAAGTTCATCTTTGTTAAAGGAAGGAAAAAAAGAAAAACATGTGACTCTTCTGGTCAATTTTGTCATTTTTTTTTTTTTACCATTGTCTCTGCTGTTTATCTACTCATTGCACCAGTTCACACTCATCTATATTTTTACCAATTAAAAAACAAAACAAAAAAAAAAAAACTTTAATATTTATAATTTTTGTTTAGCTAAAACGGAAAAAAATCCTTCCTTTTGGTTACAAACTTTCTTTCCTTTCAAGGCTTAGTTATTATTACTTTATTATATTTGGGTTGCTTTGCAAGCCTCTTTTTTTATGTATTTAACAAAAGAAGAAAATGACATTTTTAATCTTGTTATAGGCAAAAAGAAGAACAAAAAAAATCTTCCGACTTGAACAAATCTGCTTCCATCCTTATATTATTGTTTGCCCCCCTTCCCCCACCCACCTTGTTATAAGCTACCTGTTTTGTAGCTGCATAATCTTTCCTCTCACTGCCTCGACATCAACATGAAAAATCATTTTGAAAAAAAAAAAAAAAATGAAGAATCTCTCACTTTCTGCTTGTTGCTAAAAATGTGTTCAGTTTTCTTTTTTCCTTTTTCCTTTTTCTTCTTGTGCTTTGCAAAGTAAAATCGAAAAGATGAAATGACAAATTAAGGTCTTATGTGACCGACCCTCTTATTTATTGCACATGTTTTTTTTTTGTGTTTGGAGAATGATTTTACTGTATTGTTCAGCAAAATACTGTCATTTTCTTATATTTGCAGAGCACAATCTTTGAATGATAAAACTATCTTTGACTCTGAATTTCTGGAATAATGCAGATGAAGTGACACTCTTCTCTAGCAATTGAACAGGAGTAGAGGTTTATCCCTTGTTTCCTGTTTAAGATTGGTTTTCTGGTTCCTTCTAAAGTCTACTTCAACTCTCTATGTCTAACATCTTCACCTGTATCTGAAATTTTATTTACTGCTTATTTAATTATTTTTTTTCTTCAACAGGTTTGCCTATCACCTGGTTAATATTCCTCCTTGGTCTTTTGAACTGGAGTATGAGTTTATCCCTTGTTCCCGGTTTAGGATTGGTTTTCTGCTTCCTACTTCAACTCTATAATTCTAACATCTTAAGATTCTGAAATTTTATTTGCTAATTATTTATTTTTTTCTTTTTTTTTTTTTTTTTTTTTCATTTTCATTTCTTTTTTCTTTTAGTAGCCCCTTGCATATTATTGGCATTATCACCTTGCTTTTGGTGGGGGGTGAATTGATTAAAAAAAAAATCATGAAAGTGAAGGAAATGTTTGGATATTTATCTTGGAAGTACTTTAAAATTTACTGCAATCATTTCTTAATATTTGTTGATTAACTTGTAGAACAAGTTTACTAGTCCAATTCTCTAATATCTGACTATATTTCTGAGATGATGTATTATGTACACTATTTACATTATTTGGACTATTGTCCTCCTCTTTGTCGCCATATTTATTACAACATCCTCAAGGACACATGGCCCAGTGGATAAAGGCGTTAGTTAGATCCAACGACAGGACCCAAAGAGTGTGAGTTCAATACCTGGTTAAGGCAGTGGAGAACTTGGAGAGGGGTATTAACAGGAGATAACTGATAAGTGACATCCATTAAACATGGCACGTGGAACTAGAATAGTCTACCCCAGTGAGCAGAATAAAGGGTTCAGTTCAACATTCCAACGACCTGAAGAAGGCCAGGCGTAAAATTAAAACCTTATGTCATCATTGATGACAAAGATGAGGACAATAGTCTGAATAATGTAAATAGTGTCCAATTCTCTAGTATTTAATGACTGAAAAAAAAAAATTTACATTTTATTATCTAAGTAGAATAAAGCTGTTCTTGGTTGTGTCAGTCCAGACCTTCAAAACTGAGACCTACCAGGCTACATACACTGAATCAATATCCTCATTCTGTTCATATTCCATTAATGAAGAAGTTTCATTTGGCTTCTTCTCAGAATTGTTACTTTGTGGAATGGGCTCACAAGAGAATGCTTTCCTGATCCCTACAATCTTTACGGTCAACCCAAGACTTGAAGAGATTATCTCTCCTACATAACCTCATGATATGCAGCTCTTGCTCCCTTCTTGTATGTATGCCTTTACCTCATTTAGTAATCCTCTAGCTTGAGTGGCTCTTGAGCCTAGCATTAGGTGAACAATAGAAAAAAAAATTATATACATGCCAATTGTTACTCTTCACTGCTGATTTGTTATTGGAAGTTTTGAAATAGAAATTTATCCAGAATATCCAGGGCTAAAATGTGAAACTTGGTTGGGAAACTCATGTAGAAGAATAACGTTTAATTTTGATCTCAAATGTTTGTTTTATGGCCAGCAGATTTTTTTTTTTTTTTTAAGTCGAGCTTTAGAAGTGGCACCGACTTCACTTGACCAAAGAGAAAGAAATGGACAAATAACATCAAATGCTTTCTTTCACTTAAGTGACAACAAAACAAGACACGAGAGGGTGTATCTGGTTGCTGGTTTATATTAAGTTACAGTTGAGATCAAGGGGAATCAGTTTGGCAGGGGACAGACTGTCCCTTGTGTAATTCTGATGCACCATTTGTTCATGTTGTCAGCTATGCCTTTGGATGACGAGATGAGCAGATGGTTGGTAGCAGGGAGAACTGAATGGTTAGTGCAACATAGAAGAAGTCCCAAGTGTCATCTACCTACTCACCCAGGATGAGCAAGAAAAGCCATGAATAAAACACCTGTTATATTATTGACAATAGAGTTCAAGTTATCACTTTTTGGCCTAAGTTTTCATCTTTTTGTTACCTTGTAAACATGCAAGATTTTTCTCAGTTTACATGAAGGAGACTAGAAATAATGTTGGAGAGTCATTGGTCAGACAATGGAAAGCTGGACGAAGGTAGGTCAGGTTTTCAACAAATGTTATTTTTGATGCCATAGAAAACTCCAATTTCCCACTGTTTACATTTAATATCAGAATACTATGAAGTTAGGCTAATATTTACCCAAGTACATAGGCTGTATCATCATCATCATGCCTCTTAATTCCTTGGGGAACATAAAAACGCGGTTCCCGGCGATGTCATGCTACCTGCCTTCCTGGGAGATTTTCACCAGCATGCATCATACATTCCACTTTGGATGACTCTTCATTGGCCATATTGTTTGAAGATATCATTGAGGTTTCTGTAACAAGCTAGTTTTTAAGTGAGTAGTTTGTTAGCCTACTGCACAATCCGCAACCCGGAGGACCAGGTTGTAACTTTTGTCTGGGTCCTACCTGACAGACCTGTTGAGCTTGGTTGGACCTGCTAAGGACCAAAGCCCCTGCCCAAATACCTCTGGGGGTTGTTGAAGCATGCAAGCCGTCCTACCAGATCAAGGCAACACACCATCAAGATGGAAGCTGCATACAAGTATTATTTATCATATGCCTCAATTTTTGCATATAATCTATGGAATTTTTGAAAGAACAAGTGGTGGGATCTTTACATGCCTGTAAAATTTTGGTTCTGACTCCATAATTTCTTTTCATTTTTATCATCTGTGAATTGCTATTTGTTTGGAAATATAGTGGAGTGGTTTCCTATTGCCTTCTCCATGGTTTGGAATTCAGTTTTCCTTCATGCAGCCTGGTTGCCACTCAAAGCTAGAGAGTTCAGTCTACCTTGCTACTTAATAGCTGAGGGGAGAAAGAGATTTATGCCATCCCCAAGGACATTTGTGCAAAAGGGAACAAAACAGACTAGTCCAGAATTTGAGCTCTACTCACTGAGACCACTTATCACTTCAATATCCGTTACATTCGCTGAACATCTTTTGCTGAATTACAGGTGCCTAATTATTAAAATATCTTTTCATTTTATTTTTGTTATTTATTTTTATTACAGTTCTCAACTCATTTTCACAATGATACTGCTTCATCTGGAAAATTCAGATGACATGTGCCTAGACCTGTTCAACAGTTAAAAAAGGCCAATATTTTGAAGGCTGGATCTTTCAGGTAGTCATACATTTGAAATATTGGTATAATTAGGCTTGCCAGGTAAAATACAGGATCTTTTGCTCGGGTTTAAATTCAAATGATTTTCTTTGTTTTTATCACTGTATAAGTTTGTTTCCAACAATAATGTTATAGTAAAAAAGCTTTTGGTGCAAATTAGAAAAAGAGATATTAAATAAAAAAAATCAAATTTCAGAAGTTCATTTTCATCTATATAGACATTGCTGATATTTATTTAACTCAGCTGGCATAAAACCACAGCATTATTGGAACACTAGTTGAGGATAAATAAGTAATAATAGGAAAAATAAAACAATAGACAGGGTATTTGAATTTCTTTGAAATGGTGTCATCATTAATCTTCAATGAGTAAAAGTTTTTGATCAAGTAAGCAACACTGTTCAGAAAGAAAGAATACACCTCTTGTCAGATTTGAACTCTCATCCCATATCTGTATTTTTTTCTAGTTAGGACACTGTCTTAGTGATTAGGCTATGAAGGCTAAATAGTAACAGTCATAACCCTGTGTTGGTCACCTCAGATTTACAAAAATGGCTAGTCCACTGGTGTCTGCCTCCCATGACACGCCACACCACATGCTACATGCTCTCATTGAATCAGCATAGTGGAAGTAAGCAAAAGAAACAAGTTGCCAACTAAGAATTACGAGTATTTAAAAATTTGAGGGTAGCAAAACACCCATGTGAATAACAGGTTTAAATATATATTATTTTATAATTAAATTCAAAATGGCAT